AGACAAGTAAGTTACGAACCTGACAGTATTCTTTACGTTTATTTCACACATTGCCAGCAAATCCTGTTAACCATTCTTAAGTTATTTTTCCAAAAGGGGGCCGAACCCCGCCTGGAGGGGTCCCCTGTTTTAACCACTCGCACCACTATCCAGTAATGTGTTGTCTGTCAGCCAGTCAGTAGACACTAAAACGACGTCACATAAAAGATGCTTCACGCTGCAATTTGTAGTGTCGTGACGTCAGTAAAACTTGCGCATGCCATACATCACGAGAAGCATTATGCACTCCGTGGACTAGAACACGTGAACTTCTAAACTAAGAAATAAAAATATTTATTTCTAATTTGGGTTTTATTTACTCTTGAAACGGAACACTTTGGGGGAACCCTGCGGAAGTACATCTAGTATCAGATAACGCAATTAATTAATCATAGAGGGAAAAATGAGCTGGGCGTGGCTTAGTAACTAGCGTGCCTGAACTCGGTTCGTAGTTTGCATCACGTTCTACCATAAACTGCTCCATACTTCGAAGCCGTGACTGCGTTATAAGAGTGACGATCAAATCTTGATATTCTATTATATAACAGTTGGCGGTGGGTGCTGTTGGCTAGTTGTATTCCCTCGAATCAATCGGTTCAGAATTATGGAAGGCTATTGAGTAGTTTGCACTAAACAAACAAACAAATAGTATAGACAGAACAGTTTTAATTTTCTTTTAAATTTTATTTGTTAAAAAATAATCACGTTGCAAGCTGTGCGTTTTCAGATAAATTTGTGAAGACATTGATTGGTGTTTCTTCTCGAATAACTCATCCATAATTCTAGTTTAATTAAATTACTTAACAAAAAAATATAAAATACTGGTAGGAAATCAAGTCATATTCCACTTCCTTTCACAGTAAGCGATGTTTCAGGTGGCAGTTTTCAGAACTTAATTTTTAAAAGAAAAGCAATGGGTGAAACATTTTTATTTTATTTATAACCGTTATTCATCTACAGTAAAAATTTAAAGAACTGTGAAAATACACTCACCTGAAAAACAAAACAAATATAAAATTCTTTCAATAAATCGTTAACTCCTGTTCGTGAATAATTTTTGTTTCCGACTTTTCTTAATAATGTTTTTCTTTTTAGCAAATTTACTGACTCAAGAGTTTATCCTTTGTCGCAGTCAACAAATAAAGTATCGTCACATAAATCTATTTTATCGTTTCTAGGCTTAAAAACTTGCATATAAAACGAGTTTCTTTTTGACTTTATGAATTCTGATTGTCTACGTTCAGGACTTTTATTATCAAGTGTGATTGCTAAACGTTTATTTATTCTTTCTTGAAATACGTTAAAAACCCTCACGTTATTTCACATGAAAATAACCGCTCATGTAACCATAAACCAAAATATTCTGAGATTTAATTAGTCTTTAAATGCTCAATATGAAATGATGAAGTATCATCCCCTCGATACCGTTGTTGTGTTAAACCCACGATAGCAACGCTAAGAAAGGTATTGTTCATTTGAAGTGTACTGGAATAAATTTTGAAATGGTCCCTTGTACTTTTTAAGAGTTTAGGGAGGGCTATAATCGCGAATAAATAAGTGAATCGTTACTTTGAAGTTAAGCACAAAGCTACACAATGGGCTCTGTCCACCACGGGTATCGAAACCCGGTTTCTAGCGTTGTAAGTCCGCAGACATGCTGCTGTGCCACTGGGGGGGGGGGGCTGTCTTAATGAAGTGACGAATTTCACTAAATGCAACAAGTGTATCATCCATGGACATAGCCCTCAATTGGGACGTTTAAATCACACTATTCATGCTCCGATTCTTGAATATGCATGGAAGGGAGGAAAAGGTGTAACTTGAACCTGACTCTCCAAGATCGACAATTGACCAAAATACCGAGCCAGAACAGAGGGCGTACAATACCGCAGGCGTTTTTTAGGGGACGTTCATGAAAATAAACACAGTCGCCAGTGTTTAGAATATTCAGTGTTGTACAAGTGATTAATTTCCATCTCTTGTTTTCCAAATATTTAAGCTTGAATAAATCCCTAAAGCTAAGTATTAGACTATTAAAATCCCTAAAGCTAAGTATTAGACTATTTCGTCAGTCTCGTTTGTTAATCTCCCCAAAATTATAGTTATAATATAATGTTAATTTTAGTCATTAATAGCTTACTTAGAAGACTGAGATAGTACACTAAAATTAGGGGTATAACTTTAAAATTCCAAATTCTGAGGGAGACAAATATTACTGTTAACTAATTAAATCTCATCCGCATATATAAAGGTAATAATTTTTGAACATAAAGAAATGTTGGCCTCCAACTTGTCAGTCATCTTCCTTATTACATTCATTTATAATTATAGCAATAAGTTTATCAATCTATAACTAGTATACGTTATGATAACCAGATGAATTTCATTACATGTTCGAACTTAGGTACGATACCTACTCATACTGTGGTTAAATTACTCAGCGAGCAACACTACATTACATGACTATAGTGGAATTACGTTTTACATTTTGACATTCCTATCTTTTAAAAAAAAGTCATTTTATTTTGGTTTTTATTCACATTAGGTTGTGAGTAAACATGATTTACGTACAAGATTTTTCAGATTATGCAATTGCAAGCATACAACGATTCAACTTAGAAGGATTTGAAACTGGGATATTGTTAGAAACAAAATGTTTAATGTTGTAATTTAAATGTTTACTAGAGAGAGCTGCGAGTCGTAATGACGTTAAGATAAGCCCAGAACACAGAAAATTCTAGAAGATTTGACGTAAGTGTTCTAGTAAATTATGTATATATGGGAGTTCAGTGAAGCAACAAAAGATAGTTAAAGATGATGACCGAGAAGCTAGAGAGTTGTTTCTAGTCGGAAGAGTGAATCAGTCAGTGTGTGTTTTAATTTTTAGTGAAATATTTCGATCTTGGTTAACTATTACGTATATTGAGTTAATTGGTACAAGTAAGTTTACTTTTTTTTTTTACGTTGGTGTGGAGCAGTTAGTGTCATTTTTAAACGAGGCCTACAACTTACCACAGTATTTAAGTCTGTAAAAACATTAAAGGAGGAAATCAACTAATTTGACATTTGACTGGACATTGATTTTTTTTTTTCATCAGACGATTTTAAAAATCCGCCAACAAAAGAACAACGTTGCAACAATATTATACGCAAGTTACTGACGATTCTAGTTGGCAGGATTTAAAACTTGTGAGTATGATACATATTAAAATATAAAGTAGATGAAAAGGCACATAAACCAGATAGACTGGTATCTTGCGAAATGACAACAATGGTTTTAACTATAAAGTTGAAAATGTTATTCACAATATAATATCTGTAAAGTTATATTTGATAATAAAATACAGAAATGGTTATCGTATTAGACGTTAGATGTCAGTCTTCAACACAAGTCACACCTATATACAAGTGATTAAGATTTATACATAAATAAACACTGAAAAGTTATGGTTACTCTAAAAACATTAGATGAAATTATTTCTACTTGTACATTTAATTAGTATAAATCTTTTTTGTTTGTAAAATATTGTACATAATCAAACAAAAGTAATAAACTTACATTACACAAATCAATAAAAATTTTGAATTTTCCTTGTTATAACAACAAAAATATAAAACCAATTTATAAGAATTTTATTTAAATATACCTAAACGTATTATTGTATTTTAAAAGTCACACTTCACTTTTTCTATGTATTTTATATACATTATTCAATAAATGTATATGCACGAGTTCCTTTCAACTAAGTTCAAAATTTGTTTTTTAGATGTGTTAAGTACAGTTCTACCAGCACTTGTATCTTTTAATAATTAAAGATTAAAAAAATAGCAATTAAGAAAATATTACTGAAATTGTATTTCTTTATATCGTATATTATATCAAAGTTGTACTATTGTCTATATTTGAAAATAACTATTGTAGGTAAAATACATCTTAAAACACCATACATATACAATCCACTACTAAACTAGGCCTAGTCTTATTATATCGTACATTATATCAAAGTTGTACTATTGTCTATATTTGAAAATAACTATTGTAGGTAAAATACATCTTAAAACACCATACATATACAATCCACTACTAAACGAGGCCTAGTCTTATTATATCGTATATTATATAAAAGTTGTACTATTGCCTATATTTGAAAATAACTATTGTAGGTAAAATACATCTTAAACCACCATACATATAATGTACACTCCACTACTAAACGAGGCCTAGTCTTATTCTTTCGATTTACCCTTGTCTAGGATTACTGATAGAGAGTGGAATTCCTCGAAACCGGTATAACTCAATGACAAGTGAAAAATCGAATGATAGGCTTGGCCTCACATTTAGGTTTTAGTACAAACAAGACAGTTAATGAATACTGCATTAAAAATTTTAGCTGCTGCTTCTGGCTCATAAAATATCCACTTTAAGTGTTAAGTCTCTTGTTCAAGTGAGATGAGTTTCGTTAATAACCTCAGTAGCGTAACGTTTGATTCCGATATTGTGGGTCAAATATGTCAGCAGAATCCCTAACGCTATCATGGTTATTCCAAGAACGTTGATGACGATAGCTTGTTCAGGTAAATCCGCATAGTTCAGTTTGCCGTCCTTGCCACTAGAGAAATAAAAAAAAAAGTCTTTAAAATAAAACTTCGTTTAACAACAGGTCTAGCACTAGGGTGGGTGGGTCTGTACACCCCCAAATTTCATTTTGGCCCACCCAAGTTCATTCATTTTAAAATCGCTAAGAACAGTCGACAAAAGTTCCACTTCCCCCTCCCTCCAAGGGAGGAAAGATGGAGTCGGGCATGTTTAACAAATCCTAAACTGATTACATAGAAGGTTAAATTGTTTGTAGAAAAAACACAAACAAAAAACAGAAAAAATGAGGTATTATATCCACACAAACAAATAGTTAAACATTATTTTCTCAATATGATTTTGTTTTAGGCCAATACCTCCCTTGGTCAAAACAAATTTGTAAGCAAACCGATCTACTAAATTAATATTTATTTCATATTTTTCAATCTATATTTCTTAAACGAATATTAGTGATGAAAATCTGGTATTTATGTCTTAATGAATTAGAACTCAAATCGTAAAAACAAACACAATAAATAATATTTACATAATTTTAATTTATACATTTGTTTACAATTTCATTATAAACAACAACAGCAAAAAATACAGTCTCCATTCCAAACAGTGAATGTAATCGTTTCATTTCGTTATACTGCAAGGTTGGTTACATAAAGTTCCAATTATTAGACTATTTTTAGTCATATTTTAGTGCCGAAATTCCATTGATACCTGAACTGAATTATTAATTAAATACAAACAAAAAAATGCCTAAACGAACTCCTTATATGACAAATAGGAAAATTATCAGGTAAGAAAATATAACATACAATTTGGTCTTATTATTATTTTCCTTTTGGGAAGAAGTGTGCTGTTTATAGTACATTTTTTCACTTTGCATTATTTTTGCTAGGTTTGAAAGAAACCTCATCCGTTAATTAGTAATTAACCGTGTTTCTTGCAGGTAAGATAGTACATGACGTTCAGGAAGAAAAAGTTTTCTTTTCTGACCACAAATCGGCTAATGACCCGGGTATTCTCCCGCTCCAGCACTAGAGCACAAGTGAATGGAAGTCACGTGCAGAAGAGGTTTCACGTGCGACACGATTTTGTGTGATGTTATTGTATTTTGTATTAAAGGCCAGATTCTATTTGTTTTATAGATTTTGCTGAAAGTGTTCTGTAACGTTTTTTAGGCAGACTAAACCTTTTGCTAAGAATTAGATTTTGCTGAGCTTTTGCTTGAGTAACTTTTGTTTCCTTGTTTCGTTTTTTTTTTTTTCATTTTACCTGTGTATTTTTTATTTTACACCCTTTTTTATTTAACTTACTAGAGTGAAACATCCTGGATTGGTGAGAGACTTACACAAACGTTTCGCTTCCCTTCTCTTTCTTGTCAGTCTAAAACATTCACCATAGATCCACTTGCCCCCGTTTTATGTTTTGCCTTGTGATACTAACCGTGTATGTGATATGGTTGTGTGTGTGTTAATAAAGATGATCCCTAATTTTATCTGATAGCTAGATGAAATGCATCCACTATAGTCAATAGGAACCACTGCTAATTCTTGGGCTAGTTTAATCGAATAATGTAATTTAATTAAAACACCCTACAATTCGCACTTCTGGACTTACCATCATATAAAGGGGAAAAACATTCGTACTCTTATAGGCCTATATAGAGCTACTGATTGAATGGATATTTAGCCGCGGCCTAACGACTCTGAGTTTATTTGTTTTTCATGTACAAACTATTAGCTTATAGATCCGTCATTTCTTAGCCGCTTTGAGATACAATTGCAGTTTTGTACTCGGGAGGTCAAACCCTTTCGATTGGTATATTTCACTACGCCCAGGTTCTCATAGATTAATTTACTCTAATCCTGCCTAAAATAATTTCAAGTGCCGCGGCTATTGAGTGTTCCTTCTTATTTAATATAACGTTTATCACCGCACTCGTACTCTTATACAGAGCTACTGATTGAGTAAGTTTATCACCATGACCTTGTTGATTAAAAGGCCCTAGTAACACAAAACCAAAGAATAGAAATGCCAGTAATATTACGATTTATCCAATCGAATTATTGCTGGAGTTTCCCGTGTATTTCACAGAGAAAATGAGTGATTTTTCCCATTTATTTTGTCAGTTCTGTAAACCGGGTTTTACAGAATACAATAATATAAAAATTACTGAACATGATGAAATAAGTAAAACCCACCGGTAATGAAGAGTATAAAATCAAATCAGGGATTTGAGGGTTACAAAAGCTATACGCGACGTAGTCCACATATACACAAACAACTATCTAAAAAACATTAGCCAACCTGAGCCTGTATCTAGCTGATTGAGTTAGGCCTGTAACACATGCAGCAACAGCCATGCTGAAAATGATAACACCGAAAGTCTTATGGGTTGGTAGAAGTTGCTGACGGAACTTTGTCGTAGTAGCATCACAACACAGCAAGACCAAGAAGGATACGAATCCAACAATGAACTGGAAAAGAGGGAATACAATAATTTAAAATATCCACAATGTTTATTAATTATTTGATAAATACAGCAATCAAAACTATATATTTACTTTTAAAAGACCGAAAAAATACAAAATGTAGGAACTAAACGCAAGTGTTTATTTACAATATAGACTGAAATATACACAGCGTGGTCACAAGTAAATAGACACCACCTTTTAAGAAAAATGAAATTTTTCAGTCATATTCACATGAATTGATATATTTATAATTCAATTAATATCTAGTAGATCTTCCTTTCGCTTCGTGGAATTCGTCGATCCTTTGGGGAATCGTGAGAA